GCTTGTCCGTTAATTTTTTAACGGTGGAGGTACTAAAATGAAACAAAAACTAAACGCCATATATAATTTTGAAAAAAATTAAAGTTTAGGTACTAAAACAGGCCAAAATTGATAGTTTGAATATTAAACGCATAGTTTACCTGAATATCAGAGATAGCATAATTCTAATTAATTCAATTATTATTATTATTATTATTATTATTATTATTATTATTATTATTATTATTATTATTATTATTATTATTTTGTAAATTGGTATCTATAAACTTGAGTTTAATTTCAAATTAAATATCTTTAAGTGAATATTATGTATATTGGCCACGGTATTTTAACATCATATTACTTGAAATACTCCGGGGTTTATAATCATAGGACATCTTTATAAAAACTCAAAAGTTAATTTGTGCAAAAAGAATTTCTTTTTAATATAATAACTAAAGCTATGTAATTAATTTTGTGAAGTTTTCATTGAATAATCTAGGGTGATTATAAGATAATATATGTTTAAAATATTTTTAATCATTTACAACACATATTTGCAGACAAAACTATTTAAACCCAGAATCTCTAGTAAAAACAATACTCATTCTAATCATTAAGGTCAGTAGTATATGTTCTAAGTACTCTCAACCACCCTTGCAGTTTTTGGTGTTCGAACATGTGATCTCTAAGAACAACAACAATTTGTTTAACTACTAAGGTAAGTTGGTTTGTGCTAATAAAACTTTGTTAAGTAGATAAGCATAGAATGGACATATAATTGTGATGTTTCTATTAATCTAGAAGCATTTAACCGATCCCACACATGCACCATGGAATCAACAAATAATGCCTAAGATCCTACACTCCATTCCACTCGAAGTCAATTGTTGTGTCATTCGTGTTAATAATAAATTTATTACACTTGTACACATAAATTTTTAAGTCGAATATAGGATTTGAAAATTCATAGATGTAATGCCTACTTTTTATTTGGGCTCCAAACTTATTTGAATGTAAGAAAACATGTTCATTGACTTTAGAGAAAAAGAAAGTGACACTATATCAGAGAATATCTTGGGTAATCTTGTTATATCAAATGTGATCTCCTATCAAGGGAAAGGATTATTTCTAATTAATGTGATTAGATAATATTAGATGTTATTTCCTTAGATAAAAAGATCTTGTATTATTTGGACACATTTTAGTTGTCGATGTAAACAATCTAGACCATTAGATGTTTGGATGCTTAGCTATAAATAATGGTCTTCTTCATCTCATTAAAAAGAACACAAAAAAGAGAAAAAAAAGGAGAAAAATAGAGAAAAAGAAAGAATAGTCACCTAAAGCATTGTAATTTGAGAAAAAAGAGCAATAAAAGAGAACATTTATTTGAAGGTAATTCTTTATTATTATTATTATTATTATTATTATTATTATTATTATTATTATTATTATTATATTTATTTTGGTCAATTTCAGCTTTGATTTTGTTTGAAAATCCTATTGAAAGAGAGAACTCATGAATAAGGAAGTGTCTTTCAAATAAATCTTCATAGGTCTTGCCTTCTTTGAGGGTTCTCGATTATTATTATTATTATTATTATTATTATTATTATTATTATTATTATTATTATTATTGAAATGACCATCCAGCTCAGTTGGTCACAAGGTTCTTAACCTTGAGGTCGTGAAATCGAGTCCCAAGGAGGGCATTTCATAATTCGGAGGTCTCCTACGGAAACTGCTCTCAACCTAGTGTTGGGAGCAGCCTACTATCTTATCTCCCCCTTACCCCATTACATATGGGAACAAGGGACAACCATTTATTATTATTATTATTATTATTATTATTTTGGTCAATTTCAGCTTTGATTTTGTTAGAAAACCTATTGAAAGAGAGAACTCATGAATAAGGAAGTGTCTTTCAAATAAATCTTCGTAGCTCTTGCCTTCTTTGAGGGTGCTCGATGAAAATCGATGAAAATTTTGAAAAAAAAGAGTGAAAAGAGTTCTTGAATAGTGTAAAAGAAAATTTTAATTTTATTTCAATTCAACCACTTTTCGTTTTTTCCATTTTTCCTTTTTTAAATTTACTTTGCCACTTGCTTTTTTTAATTTGATTTTGTTTTGTTATTTTTTTTCATTTATTAGCTTTTTTTAATTTGATTTTGTTTTGTTATTTTTTTCATTTATTAATATAATTAGTAATTTAAAATTATTAAATTTGCTTTAATCTTTCTACATGTTTCTTTTATTTCTTTTCCATTTTTGTTATGATGACTTGTTTTTGACATTGTTGTTTTTTTACTTAATATTCTAAAAGATTTTCCTTTCAATTTAAATTAGCATTTCTCTTTCTTTAATTTTAATTGTTTGTATTTATATCATTTATCTTTGTATTTATTTTTATATAGTTTTAATTTTTGTTTCATACATTCATTTATCTGTCATTAATTTTACTGTTAGTTTATTTTATTATTTTGGTACCCATGACCTTTTTTTGTAGATTAGAATAATTCAGACCCACATTTTTTTATTATTTATAATTCTCTTATTTTATTTCATAAGACTCTCAAAGGTAAATAATTTGGATCTTTTCATTAAATCTTGACTCAAACTTTAATTTTCTCTATTAAAATAACTTATAACCGTGTTGGTACCGGAAGGGAAATGTGGGGATGTTCATCCTTCCATACAGGTAATCAACTCCCGAAACTTTTCAAGTAAATCTCTGGTAAGACATAAATTCGACAAAAGATAAAATTTAGGTATTCAACCTTACTTAATCCTAAAAGGTTGTGGAGATTCAAAAAAGATAAAATTATTCACTTTAAGTCGAGATGCGAATCTGGGACCATCTGAAGGACCGTTGCGATAATAATAAGTTAGAAGCTTAGAATAAATTTTACTAATACAAAAATAAGCTATAATTAATGGACAAATTCTTTAATTTTTATTTTTGTTGTAGTTTCGATCTAAAAATTATTTAGATTTATCATTGAGTCGGTAGGTAAATTTTAAGGTGTGCAAACCTAATCTGGATAAATTGTATTCAAAGATTTGTTTGCTCGAGAATTGATCGAAAAAAAATAAATAAAGATTTGATCTTAAGTCGATGAAATTTGCTTTAAGGATTTATTAAGACTTGATCTTGAAAAATTACTTTAATGTCCTTTATGTCGGTGCAACCAAATCGAAGAGTGGTTGATCAAAAGACTTATTTTTGGATAAACAAATCTGTTTTAAGGATCGTAATGACTTAATCTTGAGAATGAGTTTTGTCTATGAAATAAAATCAAAAATTATTTTGTATAAAATTTTTTGGATGTTGTCCCTTAGATATAATTATATATATGATCATCTTTTGGCGCAATTACCGCTCTCTTAGTTTTGGAAAAGAGAAATGTATTTTGATATTTTATTTTTAATAAAATATAAATATTATTCGTGCGTGTGCAACAATAAAATAATAATAAATAAACGTTTCCAGTTGTAATCTCCCCCCCCACCCCCAAATTAGAGGTGGGTATATGGACTAAGGCCCGCGGGTTATCCGTTTAACCCGCGGCCCGTGCGGGTTTTGGACATCAAAAACTGAAGCTCGTTTAAATTGCGGGCTTTTTAGTTTGGACCGTTAAACCCGCGGTTTTAATGGGTATAACCGCGGGTAGCCCGCAAAGCCCGTAATAACCCGCTTAATTTAAAATTTATAAAATTTTAGAGAAAATAAACTTAAAGAATTTTATAGAAAAAGAAAATAAATTACCTATAAATATGATGTTAATTATAACCATTGTAGTTCTTAAATTTATTAGGGCATTTGTCATAATTCTACTGTTGCTTGATATTTTTTTTCAATTTACAATGTATCAAATTATTCTTCATTTTAAAAAATAAAAGTTAAAAGATTTATATAGTATTTTAGTCTTATAAAATTTACATCATTATCACTTTGGTATTTAAAGATTTTTTTATTTAATTTTGACATTTATTTTTTTCATGAAGTATGTTATCAATTTCGTTCTTTAATTATAAAAAGTCATGTGATATTCTAATAATATATCACATGACACATAATATTTGAATTGAAAATAAGAAAGAAAAGTAAAAGAAAAAATTGAAAATATACTTTTCAACTTTTAAAGGCTTTTACAAAAGAAAATTTGTTAGATTTGTATAATGTTTGACTTTGTTGAATTTTTCTGTTTGAATTTATGCTTGCAGACACTTCTGTGTCTTCATATTATAGCCTTGAATAATCGTGTTTTATAAAAGTATAATGTGGTTATTGTTTTATTTGTTTTTCAATTTGGTGATATAAGTGAATATTGTTTTTTTATTTGAGTTTACGTAATTATATCGTTATATATATTAATGATTAAAAAATTAAAAAATATATATTATTTTATAATCATTTCCGACTATTTAAAATAAAATTTAAATATTATTTATTATTTTGACGGTGCTACATTCCTTTTCAAGTTACTATATCATTTTTAAAGGTGTAGTAAGTTAGAACATTATTTTTTATTACATTTAAAGCATTTAAAATTTTTTTTATTTAACGGGCCGCGGGTAAGCCTGTTTAACTCGTGGGTTAAACAGACGGGCCACGGACCTTAAAATTCAAAACCATTTATGATTATGAGCTTTTTAAACCGCTCCATATAAACCTGCACCTTCAAAACCCGTGGACTAAACGGGCAGGTAGCCCGCATACCATCTCTACCCACAACTTACTCTTATCGGGAAACAGCGTGCAATTGCGCCAGGTTATGAATGAATGAATTCTCACCCACGTCGGGCCATGCATGATGCAACTGTATCAATTCGTCCACTCGTGGTTGCACGTGGGGTAGCACCCACTAGGGTGTGCAAAATTATTCGACCCGGTTGACCTGACCCGCTGACCCGGATAAAAAAAATCCGAGTAATTTTCTTTAAAAAAATTGATTTTTCCGGGTACCTGGTTACTCGAGTACCCGGTTGATTTTTTTAATATATTTAGTTTTCATGATATGCAAGGGATACATCATTGTTTCTGGGGTTATTGTTTTGAGAGCCTTGCCACTGAAGATCCAAGAAGTGATGATGGCGAAGGGATACATCATGTTGATGCCAATGTTGAATACTGTTCAGTGATTAAAACCAAATTAGGTGCTCATCGTATTCTGATGGGTGCTGAAATGGATTGCTGTGATTCAACAGATGAGGGAAGAAGATTTTATGTGGAGTTGAAAACAAGTCGTGAGTTGGATTATCATACAGAGGAAAGATATGAAAGAGAGAAACTGTTGAAGTTCTGGATTCAATCATTCCTGGCAGGCGTTCCTTATATTGTTATTGAATTTAGGGATGATTCAGGACTTGTTCGCACCAAGAGACTCAGAACCAAAGGCATCACTCATCGAGTGAAAATGAAGAACTACTGGAAGGGAGGAGTCTGCCTGGCATTTGCCGACGAGGTATTGTGTTGGCTTTACGGAACAGTCAAAGAGAATGAGGATTACATACTGTAGTTTACACCGTCATTCAACCGGTTAGAGCTTCTTCAAGCGCAATCTTGCCCCGATGCGATTACTAACCACGTTGAACAATCGTAGCTATTGACAGGCTTCTTGTTAGTTTGTAATTCGGATAGTTCAAATACAAAGGATTAAAGAGGATGGTTTATATTTTACCAAAAAAGAAATGATATGCAAGGGATGCATGCTACTGATGCAAACACATCCGGGTATCCGGCCAGACATATGGGTATCCGGATTTAACGGTTATCTGTAAAATCTGGGTACCCAAAACATCCAAATCGAAATACGAACCAAAAAATCACTGACCCAAATATTTCTGGTACTCCGAATTTGCACACACCTAACACCCACGGCCAAAACTAGGCTAAAATTACATTCTCAATGTATAGGACATGCATTTGGTGGGTCCCACCCTCAAAAGATTCTTCCTAAGGCCAAATGACCCACCTTCTTCAAGGGGCTATAAATACAGGCATTTATCGATAGCCACTTCGTCGCACGTCAAACTCTATTTCTCTTTAATGCATCCCTATTTCTTCTCCACTTCCGGCCCCTCTCTCCATTCAGGAAAATCAGAGCGAAAGGCTGAGGTTTGAAGCTCCAATTCCACCGCTTGCCATTCTCATATTTCCAACAGGATTTTGGTTTCACCATTTTTGGCTGCGTCGCCTGTACATCAAGGTCAAATATCTTTCTCTCTCACTTTAGTTTCAATGGGTTAAGTAAGCCGTAAAATTCAACTCTTTTTACTTCAAGAAAGTTCGGTTCCAACTCTTTTTACTTACATATTAGATGCAGGGCCGGTCCAATGAGTTTTAATGCCTTGGGCGAGATAATAATTTTATGCCCCTATACTTGTATTGTATAATAGACAAAACATAAATAATTTTTTAAAACAAAAATGTAATAGAAATTATAGTCAAACAAGATCAATACTAATACAAACCAAAACCTACAAGATTACAAATATCACCTAAAACGATGCATTCGTGCATTTTTTGAAGCAAAAACCTCTATTGGGATACCTAAAAATGGTATATTTATACTCCTTCAAGGGTATCAATGATCGAATCCAAGAAACATCCACTTCAAGGAGTATATATAAGTTCTCTACCAATCTTTAACAAATTCTTTTCCAGTTTAGCTTCATCAGCTTTCTACAAAATTAACCACAGTGTACATTATGCTTCTACATGTATTCTTTGCCTATGGCTTTTAATACTTAAATGTATGACCTATGATCAATCATTTATCCGATTTCTCGCTTAGAACAAAACCCTCCATGGTGATTGAAGTAAAAAAATAATACATGAGCACGCCAGAGCATATATATTGTCTTATTGAAACAACATGGTACAAAGTAATTTAACATGCTATGAGATGAAAGAAGAAAGAAAGCAAAATGGGAGGCTAGAAGCTGTACAAGTTTATAAGTTGCGCATTAAGAGCTTTGTATTCCTGAATGATTTCATCCTCATCAAGCAACTCTTGTAGTGTAAAATTTTCCTTATCTAAAATTGTCTCAACCTGCATTGATCTTAAAAATGGAAATTGTAATTAAAAAGAGAAAGAGAGAGAGAGCGAGAGTGAGGAGAAAAGAAACAACGTCTAATAAATGGGCAGAAAATAGTGGATGCAAGTCAACTGTAAACTAAAAACTAACATCAACCATAGCCTTGACCCTTAAATATCATTCCTTTCATATCCGGGGGGAAAATATCAACAATGCCAAAAACATAACAGGTAAATGATTATTGCATGAATGGCATCATATGCATATATGCTTCTAGAGAAAGCATAAAGTTAAAATTATTTTCTGTTGCAGCTAACATGACAATGCGAACCTAAGAAGATCTGTCCCCAGAATCTAACCTTGAAAGAAAAAAAAGGGTCAAACTATTTTTGTCTCTTTGCAAATCTCAAGAAAACTAATGAATAACCAGAGGAAACAAAAACACAAGATTTCCATCTACCAGACGCAGTTAGAAGAACACATTGGTGCTCAAGAACAAATGCCGAATTTCACATTTGAAAAACCGTCCACTGGTTCGAAATAAAACAAAACTTTATTTTAATAGAACAATTAACAAAGTTGAAAACTCCCACGAGAAGAAAACCCATACTTTATATTGGACCACTATTCTATTCTAACAATGACGAGTAACGACTACAAATATTTTTAACCAATTCCAGACATTAGAACACAATATTTCAAGAACTTATCATGTTTCTTGCAATTTACCAATTACCAGCATCCAAACAAAAATTTTACCAGCAAGAAACCCCATACTTCAAATTATCAATAATGGCATTAGCACATATCGAAAATTAGAAAGAAAATCGAATGAAGACGCAAAACTCACAGGAGATGCAGTGGACAATCCGACCATACGCCAAAACATATTTGCAAAAAAATAAACAACAAAGAACTCAGATCTGAACCAAACAAAAGAAACCCTAGGAATCGACGAATTCAACAAAGAAAACGAAAAGATCCGCTGCAGCGGTAACCCTTGCAATATGAACCGTACGGATTCAAAATGAAAAATCAGGAAACCTAAAACCGATGCCCCTCAAAATGCTGCCCTGGTATTGGGTCGGCCCTGGTAGTATCCTTTCCACCCAACATCCTAACAATAAAATTGATGCCCCTACATGATGCCCTGGGTCGTTGTCAATCTGGCACATATATTGGGCCGGCCTTAATTAGATGTTATTGTAAAATGAGACATGTGGCTTTGAGCCTTGAAAGTGTGCTTGTGGAAACAGGGTCGTGGCCTGAGAGCTATGAGGGCTAGATTGGAAAGGGAGCGAAAGGTTAATCTGCGTGTGATACAGTCGCTGATAGCGTCACGATTTGCAGCTACCGAGATGGAGGAGCAAATCCGGAGGATCAGACAAGAGATGGAGCTACAGTTTCAAGACAATATCCTTGATGATCTGTGGGTTCGTGATTGTCTCTTTGAGGTTGAAAATGACCCTCGGATTAGGAACATCCTCGGTTTGAACCGAGCTCGTATGTTTACAGGACCGCGGCGCCGGCCCGGACCACCATGAGAGTTGAAATGTCGGGACTTCATGATGTGGACATAGTATTGTGTATATCACGATTTCAATGCCGTTATCACTGTATAACGGTCATTGTTATGGTTACATACTAATAGTTCCTAATAACAAGTATTAAAAATTTTAAGGACAACTCCATAATAATAAGTATTGGAAAAAAATAGATCCCTAATAACAAATATTAAAAAAAAGTAAATTTTAAGAGTGTGCTCATAATAAAAATTATTGGAAAAAGATAGACCTCTAATAAAAAGTATTGAAAAAATTATACTCATAATAAAAAATAAATATTAGAAAAGAAATTGAATTTTAAAAAATATATTCCTAACAACAAATATTAAAAAAAATTGGGCCCGTGATAATAAGTATTGAAAAGATTGGGCCTTTAATGAAAAATCTTAGAAAAATATTGGCAAAAATTAGTCATTTATACAAATATTAAAAATAAATAAATATAAGAGTAGACCTCTAATAATAAATATAAGAAAAAAATTAAGGTCGTAATAATAAAGTTTCTCAATCAAGACTGAGAGAGGGGATCAAAACTTTTATTCTCCTTCCCCATTCAATACTTTTATACCTCCTCATTGAGATAGTGGATTTCTACATCGCTTGAACACCGACTCAACTCTCTATCTAAACCAGAAGATATAAACTGCCTATAATCGTCGTGATCCACTTGTTCCTATCAACAATACTCATCATTCAATATTAATACTAAAGGGTTGCGTATTGATTCTGAGCCTCTAGAAATGAGAAACTTGTCCTTTCTAGTGTCTTAAATGATTGCTAATTCATATTGAAGCATGTATAAGTGATATGCTATGCAAAATAGTACTCAAATATTGACGCAAGCGAAAATGAAGTTTGATACAAAATCACCGAACTTATAAGTTTCTCGATACGGACCTCCGGTTGTATAATTAAAACATGCATTTCTAACTCTCTTAACTTTCCAGTATTCTGTCCCTCCACTTGGCAGAACCTTTTTGGCAAATTCCTTTGGCACATTGTCAATCTCTAGATTTCTAAGGCATTCCAAGTTGCCAATGTTTGTGGGAACCTCCTGCATCAGTGGACTGGCCCTATTCCAAGTGTCTCCAAGCAAGGTAAAGATCCTCCATGCATTACCACTGTCTCCAATTTGTACAAACAATAAAGTCCAAGGCGTTTCAGTTTTTGGAACTTTCCTTGTTCGAAGTGCAATTCAGCTCCATTATAACCTTCAAAAAGCCAGAACTCTAATAGCTTTGGCAAATCTCCAAGGATTTTAAGCGAATCATCTGATATTGTAGACCAGTGTAAACTAATTTGACAAGGTTCTCCAGTTCAGAAATCCAACCAGGCAGCGTCATTAGTCGTCCGTGCAGGCAAAGACGTTGAAGGGATGGAGGAGGAGACATTGATTCCAGTTCAAGAACTTCGTTTTCTTTCTCTGCCAAAATACGCAATGCATACAGGTGGTGCATCTGCTTTATAGCACTACACAACGCTTCCCCGCACTCTGATTTTAGTTTAGTGATTCCCGGTTCCTCATCCTCTTTAACCTTCTAAATTCTCTACCGAAATGCTCACCATTTTGTTGTGGGAACTCGATATAATAAAGCTTTTCTAATGACTCTAAGCTCTCAAAAACACTGCCATTGATCCTTATGCCTTGGTCGGTGTTGATATTGAAATGATTAACATGATCAACTTAGTAAGCTCCAAAATATTGCAACTTACACAGATATCTTATCTCATCTGGGATCTCAACAACGAAACAACCTTTCAAATCCAAAGTCACCAGGTTATGCAATTTTCCTATGGACTTGAGAAGCATCTTTTTTTTTTAAAATATTTTAAGCTTAGATACCTCAAATGCCAAAAATTCCCTACCTCTTCAAGGAGGTACTCAAATGGGGTGTTTTCGAAATCTATTTCTCTCAATAGTTTAAAATTTTAGGACAGTCTCTCAAACACAGGATCATGCAACTCTTGTAAATTGAAAAAGACAATAGAACGAGTATGAAAGTCACCATTTCTCCTTGAGAAATCACATGCTCTGTTATTGTCGATCCAGAGATATCGGGCAGCACCAGTGG